TAACGGATCCAAATCAGCGCCGCCATACGGAGGGGGCCATTGGGCGCCGCCATACATGGGGTCGTAACCCAGACCTCCGCCATAGTTGGGTCCGTACGCTGGCATCGGTTCCCTCAACGGGTCGTGTCGTTGACGAGTGGGCTCTCGAAGGGACGACTCATCGGTGGCTGTCGTCGGCTTTGGCCACAGTTTGTCAAACACTTCTTCGTCTAACTTCTTGGCAATCGAGTCAACACTTCCCGACACGAAGGCGTTGCCGAATGTCTTGTAGTCGTCAGCGATGTAGTCATTGGTCTGAAGGGTGACAGAGGATCCGTTGCTGTCGGCCGACACTATCTGTGGGTTTGAGATAATGAAGACATTAATCGTGAGTATAATCTGAAGGGATGTCATGACATACCAGTGCGGAGACAATCAAAATGTCCGACACTTTGACGCATTTAATGAGCAGTTTTTGTTTGGTCTTTGCGTTGATGTATCTCAAGACATAAGTGTCTTGTGATTGGTTCCACCCATTGGTCATCAGCTGAGAGCCGGCACTCGACTCATCCGTTTCGGTGAACTGTTCGCCGACACCGACGCCAACCAAACCTCTTTGGATGCACTGGAAGTGAACGCAACCCACCAGCAGATCATTCTTCGACGTCAAGTCCGCGCGTATTGTCTGATAAAACACCTCAAAGCCGGCCATGTCTTCAGATAGCAGTCATCCTCGTCGCGGATCAAATGCAATACAAACTCGTGTTTTGTGTTGACTTTCGCACACAGAATGTCAATTCATCGCAAACTCTATGCAATCGATTCGCTCATCAATTACGTCACGATTTGAATGAAAAGTTTGGAAAACTTTTTTTGTGACAAACTATTCATACAATGAGTTCTTAATATCGAAAATGTTTGCCATTCGGCCAACACTGAGAAGAGCATTAAGACGAGACGGGAGTCGCCCACATCCCTGTCCACCAATGCATTTGTAGACATTTCCTGTTTACAGTCAATTTAAATATTGATTATACGAATATTGATTTTTATGGTCATTTTTCATACCAAGATTTATTTAAAAATAACAATTATGATTAATAATTACAATAAAACTAAAAACTTTTAACTAAAAGTTAATTAACAAAAAACATAAAACACTTAAATCATACAAATAATAATATAAATAAAAATGATTAATTGAGAACCAGTCATACAATTTATACAAAATAAATGGTATTTGAATGATAAGTATTGAATACACAGTATATTGCAAATCAATTCAATATATCGACGACCATATGCTGTCCACTGCTGTACTCGCCATCCGATGCTCGCGAAGTGGATGCCTGTCCACCACTAGTGCCGGCACAGGTAGTATCAGTAGTAATAGTGGTGGTAGTGGCGCCCAATCCGGCGAATCTCAAGCGGAACTCATTCATGAGATTGTCGTCAATCTTATCCTTACAGTGACTGCAGAACACTTCCAACGGTTCCTCATTCGTGGACGCCTTCATCGCCAACTCAAACAACTCCTTCAGACACACGCGATGGTAGATATGTCCGCATTCCAGCACTTCTGTGTCTGTCAGGGGTTTCACTCTATGCCAGCATAGAGTGCACTGAGTCTTAAGGCCATCACCGGGACCGGGAGGACCAGCCCCTGTCCACGGGGGAGGCATAGGGGGCCAGTGGTGACCCATTCGGTGCCAATGTTTGCCCCAATGTTTCAAATGTTTTTTGAAGTGTTTTCTCATCTTTTTGGGTATTTTGTGGCCCAAAGAGGTGTCCGAATCGCCCGACATTTCCGAGTCCGACGAGAAGGAGGTGTGGTATGTGTGCTGCCGATCGGGTCCCCAATGGACGCCTCCACGTGGACCCCAACCCCTCTGTGGACCCCAACCTCCTCGCGGACACCCAAGACCTCCTCGGCTACAGCCCTCGCGATCTCTTTTACCCATTTCTGTCATAAAAATACAATTAAATACTTATTTAATAAATAGTTTTATACAGTTTTGGTTCACTTTTGCCACAATTTTGTGTTTTCAATGAACAGTTTGTAAGCGATTTATAATAGAAATGAGTGATTATTATATCAATAAAAGTACACAAAATGAGTTGATATCAAGTGAAAGCTATTTTATGCGATAAATATATTTTGCCTAAACTTTCGACATAAGGCTTACGAAACAGAAGTGAATGATAAGAATAAGTGGAAAATAATTACAATTATTATAATTACGACAAACAATACGATTAAGTCATCAAAACATTAAAGTTTTCGTTCAATACTAACCACAATATGGGGTATAAATGGCAACAAATGTGCACCAGGGTCACTATTGCATCAATCAAATGTTTATGCCTTTTAAACTAATATCAACACTGCGTGAACACCGATATGTCTACTGTATGAGCGCCGGTAGCTTTTTTTTGACAGCACACACACACAACACACGGCTTTCAATGAGTTAGTGTCGCAAATGTGTTACACGAGAGCGCACTATATATACTCGAAGCCATTGCTTTCAATACTGCGCTGCACTTCACTGCAAACCTCTGCGTTTGTATGCGTTTTCCCCATACAGTCCGTGCAAATGCACTGTTTGACGGCTAATGTAAACGTAATTTTTGCCCCTAAATACCAGTGCACGCAGGGGGTGACTACCGTATGGGGGTGAGGGAGGCGTGTTGGCCTTTAACAATACTTGTCATATGGTGTATGAAGAGGTAGTAAGTATTATCGTGTACAGTTTACCGAAGTTATCATGGTCAGTTTGCAAGCGGCTATTGTTTGCATAGTTGTAGGTCGAGTGAGACCCTGACCATACTGTCGGGGTTTGCCGTTTATAGAGATTTGTGCTGTGCTTTTGTGCCCATACGACACAACCTATACATACAGTGAGACACCGCATATATTGACACAAACTTTTGGTTCACTGTTAGACCAATTGTACTGTATTTGTATAATCAGTGGTCATTTGGATGAAATTTACTATTAATTGTATGGGTTTACGGGTAATTATCAGTTACTACGGGTGCGAGCAGTGGTAGGGTAGGTATATTGGGCGCCTGTTTGTGAGTGAGTGTTGGCAGTGGTGTTGGGGAGACATGTTTGCTCGCACTGGTAGCCTCTCTGAGACTCCTATACTCTCGTCGTTATAACGTTTATTGCCATTCAATGCAATGTATGTCTCCTTTGACTACAATTAATGTCAACGTATTATGCATTCAATTAAGTTATTCATACAAACCATACCATCAATACTAAGGCGACAATTGAGTTGAATTTGATTTGAATTATTGAATTCAATCGACAAATAATAACTGAATTGTAATACAAATCATATAAAGATTTATATAATTTTTTGAAGTTTTTTTGAAAAACAGTTTTTCATTCACTGATAATAAGTCTCACGAAATATACAGTAAAAGCCATTCAATGCTATAATCAATGCATTCATTGCTTTCATAAACGCATTCAACACTCAGTTTTTAAATCCAAAAATCACTCGCAATTCAAATACCTTTTTATACCATTTGTTTGTTTGAATACACAAATTGTCTTCTTCTGGAACTACTGCCTTCACCTCCGATGAGACCAATGCATGCATTACTGCAGTGAAGAGCTGATCAATTGAGTCCAACGTTTCACTCATTGATTGTCTTTTTGTCGTACAATCACTCAATAGACCACTCATTCAATGAATGCATTGGTATTTCGTATACAATATACCACTCATTGTGTTGAATGATAGCACAGAGACTGATCCACACGATCCTCAACACACCGCCGATGACCGCCTAAAAGACATACAAACCTAAGCCATAGCGCTATAAGACATTAGTCTCGCAAACAATCTCGCATTGGATTTGTGTTTTTGATTCAAACATAAGTTATTTTAATAATATTGTAATTCAATTGAAAGTAAAGTCAAAGACTAGATAAGAGACCGACAAATAAACTGCTTATAAATGCAACGATTTGTGGCTAATATATAGAGGATTAAGAGATAATCACTATTTTATGCCCACAATTAACTAATCATTGACACAGAACTCAATGATCGGACACATTTCAGACCATTCATTGCATATACCATAAGAGGTCAGTATAACCAAACAAATTGCACCCAATTGTCATCAATTCAATCAATTCATGCCAACAATTATATACCTATTCTTGTGATTAGTTTTCAAATGAGTTATCATTTTATTAGTAGTTTTTGTGCGACTATTCAAACAGTTATATAATGCAGTGTAATGTGATTGTGTGCTCAGGGTATATTCATCGATAACCAGGGTAATCATTTGCTAAACACTATTAGATAATCCGTCCATTTATGATGGGCGGGTGTTATATGCCTATACCTATATGAGTACAACGCATTCATTAGCATTACATACCGTTCCCCTATCACAATAAATGAGCCATTTTTCCGTACAATACACGCAACGGTTAGATATAAATAGCACATACAGTACCGTATGAGTCACACAGACAGCCGCAGTGACAGACATAAGGGACAGACATTTTGCGAAACTATATGTTTTTGGGGATATCATAGCAATAACGCAGTAATAAAGCCCTGAAGTGAGCGATAAGATTGCAGTGAAGTTGGCGTTGAGTACAGGTTTTTGACGCACGCATTGCCTACCCGTCCAATGGACTGCCAGGAGCCTATGCATTGCTCTCATAGCCATAGTGTGTGCTCTCATAGCACTGCCAACGCCTGTCATACCTATCATACCTATCGTATGACATATATTACTGTATGATATGACACTATCACTGTAATGGATGTGCTCTTTGTATAGTTGATGGCATTCACAGTCTTATGGACACCAATAGTCGCACACAATATATCTGTCCAATCAATGATATACCAGTGTTACGCATACCTGTGCTCTTAAAGCCATACCATTAACCACAAGAGTGACCACCAATTCATTAGTTACAAACACTCACTCATTCACTCACTCTCGAGGAATAGGTCACAAGTGGTGTGACCTTCAGACACATGAGGGGTAAATGACCAGTGCTTTGAACACTACATCCGAGACACACATATCATGAATTCACAACTCAATCGCAAAACCAATGATTTCGCGATTAATTGAATTGAAATACACGTTAATTGTTGAGTTAATTGAGTATATATTTGTTGAATGAGTTGTTGAGTTGATTGTAGTTTGAAATACATTTCGTTAATACAAATACCATTGTCTCAAAACACCAATTGATTAGACATTTGGTGTCGAAACACACATTTGTATTCAATTGACATCCGAAGACAAACCAAAAAACATTTTTCTTTATTTCCAATGATATGTTCAGACAAGTGATGGCAGAAGTGACAGAACAGGTGACCACAAGCGAGACACCGATGGATACGCCTATGGATGACACCGAAGAGGGAGAGATCTTAGAGGACGGAGAGATTGCCGACGAGGACGAGGACACCGCTCCGGCCGCAGACAGTGCCGGACCAGACTCGCAGTCCAAAAGGTCTGACCACAAGAGCTCGTCCGGTGATAATGAGAAGGAAAACAATAGAGAAAAAGATAACAATAGAGACCGAGACTCACGAAGACGTGACAACAAGAGTGAGGATAAGAATAGAGATAATAAAGACAAAGATAGGGACAGAAGAGGGGATAGGGATCGAGAGAAAGACAGACGACATGACAGACAGAGTGACCGCACAGACAGGTCTTCCAGAGAGCGCAAGAGCTCTGAATCGGACAGAGATAGGGAAAGGGATCGCAAGACCGGCGCCAATGCAGCCAATGATGAAGAACGCCGGCGACGGGAAAGGGATCGCAAGAGACGACATTCCGATGAGGGAGACAGAGATGAGCGCCTGAAAGGACAGGGAGACGACAAACGGAAGCGAAGGGACGGCAACTGGAACTCCGAATTCAATAATGAGTCCAATAATAACCCGACAATCAATCGAAACCCTTTCGATGACTACGAGCGCCGGCCGTTCGACGACTTTGACTTCCGTCAACCGCCAAACCCTCAGCAGCAGCCCTTCCCTCCCAACGCGGGCCCACCCGCTCATCACAACAACAACAACGACGAAGACTTTGACTTCGATGAGGAGGATTGGGACGAAATGCTGGCCATTATGGGACAGTCGGCTGCGGCGGCCAACCGTCCCATCGATAACATGGAGAAGCGAAATATGATGCGAGCGATGGCCGAAATGGTTCGCCGGAATCTGGACTCGGATAAGGGTCGGCGACTGCGAGACATGAGAGACAAGCGCCGGGCGGGTGCGGGCAATGACCGACAGCCCGGTCCCACCGGCACGCGGGCGCCCAACCGTCCCGATCGACCGGAACGCCAGTCGACGTACAAACAAATCTGCAAATTCTTTCTGGAGGGGAAGTGCCATAAGGGGCCCGACTGTCCCTATTCTCACGAAGCACTGCCGCCCAAGAAGAAAGAGTTGTGTAAATTCTATTTGCAGGGCTTCTGCGGCAAAGGGGAGGGCTGTCTGTTTATGCACCGGGAGTTTCCCTGCAAGTTCTTCCACACGAACGTCGAGTGCTATTCGGGCGACAACTGTAGGTTCAGTCACCAGCCGCTCACCGAAGAGACGCGAGAGATACTGAGGAACTACTTGGACTCCGGCCAACTGCCCGATGACCCCAAACCCGACCGCCATAAGCGCCACAACGACAGCGCCGGCAGACGCAACGCTCACCATAACGACACCAAAGCCAGTGATAAGGGCGCCGACAAAGGCTCGCAAAACCAAACCAATAGTCAGACAAACAGTGAGACAAACGCAGACAATAAGGAGAGTCCCGGCGGCGACCAGTCGTCCGCCAACACTACTTACGCGCCGCTCAAACCGGTGCCCAAACGACACGCCCTGTTAGGCGACCCCACGAACGACATGAAGAGCTCGCACTTCACGTGGCAGTGGCAGCAGGAGATGAAGGAACTGGAGGTCGCATATGTGGGCAATAAGCGGAACCTATTCTGCATCGAAAAGGAGTTCGCGATGAGTGCGAAGCCGGCGACGCCTCGCATGGAGGACGACGAGGACGAGATCGAGGAGCAGATCCGCAACTACTATAAGGACACAATGCCTGACTT